TTAATAGCCTTCACATATTCCTCCTCGGAGATCCTAAAGAATGGCCAAAAAGATGCAAACATTAGAAATAGAGTTAAAATATTTTGAACTTCAAGGTGAGCTGATATTAACTCACTTGTTAGCTTTGTATTCACGTCGAACCCTCCTGAGTTCGACAGTTTGAGGGAAGGAACCAATGGTGGTGGTTGGAAGGATTGGAAGATTAAGCTTCTTCTGTTGAGCATCAAGTCTTGCACTAACATTTGTAGCACGGCGGTGATCAGAGCCCTTCAAAGCAGCAGCCTGCACAATAAAAAAGAAACTCATTAGTTAATACAATTCCTGCAAACAGACAGTTAAAACACCTTATAGATAAGAAATGGTTGTTCATACCGCTTTCTGAACAGCCTCATTGGTCACCCTTGGGGACGATTTCCTTGAAGCATGAGCTCCAGCGTTAGCGGCAAAGAATGCCTGAAAAAGAAATCATAAGCTTGTAATTTTGCACATCAAACCAAGAAATACTGCTAATCGGCTAATTATAATTGACAGACCCCAACACAAAAGGGTTAGATATCAGGGCCTTAGAAACATAGCTTGCACCTTCCATAGATGGATTTCATCGGAATCAAGAACATACCTCATCCTTTTCACCAGCCAAGGCCTTTGCCAATGCATTAACTTCAACAATCTTTTGAGCAGCAAAAGCTAGCCATGATTTGATTTCATTGTCCAACTTAGTTTCGTTGACGAGGTCAACAGCGGTGTGAAGTAGTGAGCAGGAGGTGGAGACAACAAGTTTATCTGCACAATTTTTTCAGAGGGAGAAGGAATCAGTAAAAAAGCCTCTCAAATAATAATAATCAAATCAAGCACCAGGAACCAACATAGTAATACAAATGTAAGCAAAAGAATATCACCTTTTCCCACAACGGCAGCCAGTTCCTCCAATGTGCTAACTGAAGCAGCAAGATCATTGGCCCAAATGTTCCTTCCATCAACGAGTCCAGCAAAAAGGTATTTTCCCTTGGGGAAATCACCCTTGATCAAATCAAGTGTCTTAGTTCCACGAACCAAATCAAATCCATAGGCAGTGACACCCTTCAAAGAAGAAAGGGTCTTGTATGCCTCAGCAGGGACATCAGCAAAATATGTCTCCACGAGAACATTCAAGCCAGAGAGAGCTGACTCAAGTCCAGCATACGCATCAGAGAAGGCTTTCAATTTCTGAGAATCAAGATCCAACACCAGTGTAGGCTCATCAAACTGAATCCAAGAAGCGCCAGCCGCTTTAAGATCGGAAATAACCTCCCTGAAAAGTTATCCAACATTAGTATGTGACAAGAGAGTCATTGTGGGAACATTCTAGTATATCTTGATAGAGTGACGATTCTTTACTTGTAGATGGGAAGGATCTTGTCAAGAAGGGAGAGAAGGGAGAAGGTCTTGTCAACACCCTTTGCAGGCTTAGAGAGCAACAAGTATGACACGGGACCAACAAGAACTGGAACAGTGTCTACTCCAAGCTGCATAAGCAAAACATTTTTTTTATCTCAATTATTAGGTATCTACATGCCTAAATCAGATACATTCACAATCCACTATTATCTTTTTCGGAAAAAGGTATACGAAAAATCCACTCCACGTGAAAGGAATTCAATGCCTATTTCCAATTACTTTAATCATTTAAATTCTCTATTCTCAATCAAATCTTGAGCTTATTTTATGAACTTTAAGCACAATCAAAGCAAATATTTAGAACAGCAACTTACAGCCTTGGCTTCTTTGTACTCATCCACTGCCTTATGGGAAGCATAAGAGAATTTCACCTCTGGTCCTAACTCAGGGACAATGAAGTGGCTGCATCATTGCATTGGCAGGATTAATTATACCAATATCATAACCTTGTCATTGCATACTAACAATGGATCTTCTTTCCGAAAGTAAAAGGTCCGGTGGGTTACTTACTAGTTTGTGTCAAACCATTTGGTCATTTCCATAGCTGGTACAGATGCATTTCCTCTGGCCATGGAGAAGTAGGTATCGAAACCAATCTCACCACCAGCCCAACCGTATCTAGGAGGAACGGCCCCAAGCAATGCAGTGGTATCCAACACCTGATCATAGTATGAAAAAGTGTTGCTGGGAATGTATTTGATCCCTGCACCAGACATCTGTTTCCAGATAGACGACCTCAGATCTGCAGCCACCTTCTTCAAATCCTCCGCGGAGCTCTTCCCATCCCAAAATGATTCAAGAGCAAACTTGAGCTCCCTCTTGGGGCCCATACGAGGATATCCAACGATGTGAGATGCCATTGTTCTGCTCAAGAGATCGTAAATCAACAACATTTCAATCTCAAAGGCCAAATCCAATAATCAATAAGCAACGGAAACTGATACAGCATGCTAAGTAGAAAGTCGGAATTAATCAATCGCTAAATTTACAGGACAAGGAAGCAACAAATATACGATAGTGTTCGAAGTATAGATCTGGTGAAATTTTTGTTTTCTTGAAGGCGTACGTTCGTAGATCTGACATAATTTAATGGATATTCGCTATTTCAAGCATTAGATCTATGTGTGTCTGAATTGTTAGCTTGTGTGAACTAAACTCATTGGATTGGATTGAATTGGATCTTTAATAGACAGAAAGTAAACTCCCAACGCATTGGAACACGAAATCATAATTCGTTCAGGCCTAACTAGCAACACAAGTTCTTGAAACACTGGATCTGAATCCAAATTGCAGCAATGCCGCCATACATCAAGTAGTGAAAATTCACAGAAAAGCAGAAATTAGGGGGAAATGGAGCGAACCTTGAGGATGTGGAACACCGACAGAGGCTCCCCTCGGAGAAAGAAACAGAAAGGAATGCGAGAGGTAAAGAGATAAAGAGACGATAATGGAGGAGCCACAAAGAGAGAAGGCGCGAGTTGGAAGCAACGAGAATCAAGCTTATTTATAGAGACGGACGGTAGCCAGTGACTGACAGACAGCCAATGTGTATTTCATTTATTTATTTATTTATTTATTTATTTACTTATTTACTTTTTTTACAATATTATTTTTATTTCTTTTAGTGGTTGAGCGATAAAATCTCATAGCCTAAGCTATACTATTAATTTACACTTATTTATAAATTTTCATTATTAAATATTTAAAATTAAAAATATATATATTTTTTGTGTAAGAATTTTTTTTATTTAAAAAAAATAAAATTATATATTTTATTAATACAATTTTTTAAATTTAAAGATTTAATAGATATTTTGTAAATTAAATAATCAAAAATGTGGAAGATTGGAAAGGCGAGAAGCTCGCACGCGCGCGCGCGTGGGATTGGGGGTTGGTGATGTGAAAGAATTTAAGGGAAAAGGCGTAACGTGGAAGTGAGGAGTACGTGGCCACGACGATTTGGCTTTTGTTTGTGTGTCGGATCGAATTGCGGTGATTGGTCTGGACACTTTGACCTGACGTGGCATTTCACGGTAATTTTAGTTATTATTAACCCTCATTTTTTCAATTATACATAAATTTTAAATCAATTATTATTATTTATTTAAATCATTTATACTCTGTACGTTAGTCTAATAAATTATTTATTTAAACTTTTAATTAATCTTTTGTAAACAAAAAAAATATTAATTAAAGCTTTTTTTTCTGTGTTTTTAATTTCAGATATTTTAAACTTGTATTATTAAACTATGACTTTTTTATTAAAATTTAACTGATTAAATTTATTTTAATAATTTGACTCAATAAAAATAAACTAACTATTTATTTAAAATAATTGCAGAAACTGTACAGGGTAAATTTTATTTTTTTTAGAAAAATAAATATATAGGAAAATGACAGTGCTGACGGTGGAGATGCGAGTGAAATGCACGCGCTCGTAAAACGCGTGGAAAAGATCAGAAAATTGCCAGCGCATGTGCCATGTATAAAAAATAATCATAATTTTCGGAAGACTTTTTTTTTGCAAAAATTAATAGAAAAATAAACAAACAAACAAATGAAGCAAAGGAGTTTGGTGGTTGAAATTGATTTGAGGGATTGGTGGTGGATGTGACCCAAACCAACCTATTTTCCCCCATTTAGTTGGAGATTTATTTCTTTTTTTTTTAATTTCCTTACAAATTTAGTTCTAACATATTAAATAATTTTTAAATTTTTAATCTACATAAATATAATTTTTATGTATTTTTTTTTTATTAAATTAATTATAGTGTACATGAATAACCAAATATTTAGGAATTACAATATATTTTAAATAATATAAATTAATTCTTAATTATAAGAGACAAAAAATAAATAAATAAATAAATCTGGTTTGTTATTCCAACCAAAGTATACCAAACCTTACCAAGAAAAATGATAATGAAATAAAATATTAATACAATTATAAGTTAATATTTTATCTTTTAGTTTAATTAATATTATTTATTCTATGCTTTTATTTAGGTTAATCATTTCAAAATACATTCCATCCATGGTTAATAAATTAATATAATTAAAATAAAATAAGGCACTTTAAATTTAAATACTTTACCATTTTATAATTTTTTTTTTAGCTTTTCTTCTTAAATTAAATAAATAAATAAATAAATAAAGTTGTTTTCTAGAGTCTCGTATATTTTTCTTTTTAAATTTTTGTATTATCATTTACGTTTTTAAACCCATAAATTTACGAAGGTCAAATGTATTATCTTATTTGAATTATTCTATTAATAATTTCATTTTCGAGCTTCCACCTACTCTTTTTTAAATTATAGAAAATATTTAATTAAACGATTATATTATAAAAATATCAAATTTATCTTTCCAAAAACACACAAAAACCAAACTTTGACTTTTTAATATCCTCTTTTTTCAATATATATATATATATTGGACTTTTTTTAATTATTAAATTGTATGATAATAAAGATAATTTAATATTTTTAAATTTGTTATTTGAAATAGAAACATTAAATTAAAAAAGAAAATCCCACAAGAGCCTTGCCTTGTATGTAATCCGTATCTTATTAAAATAAATAAATACAAAAAATGACAAAAAAAATTGATGCCTAATAGAACAAGTCTCCCATTGTTTTTCACATCCACATTTGGCGATTCCTTGTCATCCACCGCCGGCCTTCCTCTGTTTTTAAGACCTCCCCTGTCTTCTCCCTTTCACGCCCCAAAAATGGACCGCCTCATCGCCGTCGAGCCCTCCACCTTGATCCCAATTCCGATCGAACCCTCTCGGAAATGCTCCGCCGAGCTCACCCTCCGCAACGTCATGTACACCATGCCCGTCGCCTTCCGGCTGCAGCCTCTGATCAAATCCCGCTACACTTTCAAGCCTCAATCTGGCATCATCCCACCACTCGCTACATTAACGGTTGAGATTCTTTACCATCTCCCCCCAGACTCTGATCTCCCCGATTCCTTTCCTTACTCCGACGACTCCTTCCTCCTCCACAGCGTCGTCGTCCCCGGTGCTGTTATCAGCTTTGACTCTGTTCCGTCCGACTGGTTCACTACCAGAAAGAAGCAGGTCTTCATTGACAGTGGGATTAAAGTCATGTTTGTGGGGTCGGCTGTGGTGACGAGGCTGGTGGCAGATGGGGTTATGGATCAGATTAGAGATGTGCTGGAGCGGAGCGATCCTAGCTGGAGGGCGGTGGACGCGGTGGATGAACAGGGGAGGACTCTGCTTCACTTGGCGGTGGAGCAGGGGAGGGCGGATTTGGTGCAATTGTTGTTGGAGTTTAATCCGGATTTGGGGGCAGTGGGGCGGTGTGGGATGACGGCGTTGGAGGCGGCGGCGGGGGCAGGGCAGGCGTTGATTGTGGAGTTGTTGTTGGCGAGGAGGGCGAGTACGGAGCGGGGGGAGGGGTCTGTGTTTGGGGCGGTGCATTTGGCGGCGGCGGGAGGGCATGTGGAAGTGTTGAGGCTGCTTTTGGTGAAAGGGGCTTTTGTCGATGCTTTGTCTAAGGACGGCGATACGGCGCTGCATCTCACTGTTCAGGAGCGCCGCCGTGACTGTGCTCGACTGCTTCTCGCTAATGGAGCCAAGCCTGATGTTCGTAGTGCTGAACAAGGTGGACTTTCTCACAAAAAATAAATTATAAACGAAGGGTAAAATTGTAATTTGAAAACGGAATGTTCGTTGTTTTGTTTACAACAGGAGATACGGCGCTGCACATGGCGGCGAGAATCGGCGACGAGCAAATCGTGAAGCTTTTAATTCAGAAGGGAGCCAACAAAGACATCCGAAATTGGGCCGGGAAGAGGCCATACGACGTCGCATTCGACCACTCCCACACTCGCCTCTTCGACGTCCTCCGCCTCGCCGACAAGCTCGCCACCGCCGCACGCAAGGGCGACGTCCGGTCAATTCAACTCCTCCTCGATAGCGGTGCCGCTCTCAACGGCCGCGACCAAAACGGCTGGACAGCGCTCCACAGGGCGGCCTTCAAGGGCCAGACCGACGCCGCCAGAGCCCTAATCGACATCGGCATTGAAATCGAAGCCAAGGACGACGAAGGCTACACCGCCCTCCACTGCGCCGTGGAGGCTGCCCAAGCCGACGCCGTTCAGCTCCTCGTCGAGAGAGGCGCTGACGTGGAGGCGCAGACTAATAAAGGGATGAGTTCAATGCAGATTGCTGAGTCACTGCAGTACCCAAGGATTATGAGGATTTTGATGCAGGGCGGCGCCTGCAGAGACAAGGAGGCGTCGCCGTCGCAAACGCCGTCGTGGGGACTGACAAAGAAGAAGCAGAGTAAGAGCAGAGGGAGAATAAGGAGTGTGCGGAGTACGGAGTTTGATAAGTCGGTGGCGTTGTCGGTAGTGTGAGAACATATATATAGTGTTGTATGTGTATATATGTATGTATGGATGGATGGATGCATGCATGTACGGCATGCGTATTTTCCATCGCTTATCTTTTATTTGTTTTCAAATATCTATCATAATTGGAAATTTGTAACTAATTCAAGGATTATGTTTTTAATTTAAATTTTTAAATAGGTTATTTACCACCTATTAAACATTTTCATTTTTCAAATTTTTAGAATTTTTAGACATAACATTAAATAAATAGACAAATTTATTTGAAATATACATCAGAACACCTGTTGAAGGCCCCAAAAGAGTCGTTCCAAATCTCTCTAGACCGACACGCAGCGACCCATTCTCACCGTGGGAGCAACAGTCTGCCAGCACCAACAGACAGCTAACGGGTTTAGGACTTAGACCCAGTGCCCAGCCCTAACAGAAAATTCTTTTCTATTTTACCGAATTTCATTGCCTACATTGTTCCGTCATTCACTTGAATATATATATATAAATAAAGCCTTTTAAAAAATAATTTCTTAAATTTTTTCTGCTCAAAGTGATAATATTATCTATTGTGAGAGTCGAGTAACATGTTATGAAATACTGATAATAAAGAATTGGGGACATAAATGTAACAATTAAATAAAATTGGTTTTGCTTATTTAATACTTTAATTAGATATTAAGAAGAAAAATTATAATTAACAATTCGTACATTTTTGGATTGAGATAATCGCACTCTGTTTTTCAGCAAATAGAACTCACTTTCCTCATTGTCATAACAGAGACGGAATGATCGAGGAATTCAGGAATCAAGAAGAAGAAAGGAATCAACGAATATTAACTTCATTACAATTTAATTACAGAGCATCGACATAAGGAAGCAAAATCGAGCAGTGTAAGTGAAATTAGGGCCAAACTAAATCAACACAAACCCTAGATTCCTTGAGAAACTCATCCATTACCGTTTCATCGACGCAGATCCGACTCATATTGTTCTGGCACTTACTGGACAGAGACTTCGCGACAGCAGAATCAGACGACAGCGGCGGCGGCGGAGAGGGAAGAGGAAGAGTGAGCCAGTAATCGGGATTGGTGTTGTGGTGACGGACGAGTTCGGAGAGGAGAAGAACGAGAGACGCCATTGGAAGGGAGATTTGGAGATCTGAAGGAGGGAGGAAACTGGTTGGGATTAAATGAAGGGGACGAAACGGTTGGGAGATTTATAAAGGAAAATGGAACGGGTGGATGCCATTTTGGCGCCCACCGATTTTCATCCTTTGTTTTTTGTTTTTATTTCAATGGATTTAATATTATAATTAATGGCCGCGTCCCGGCTCCCGCTGTTTAGTTTTCTCCGCCAGTATTTTTTTTTCTTTAAAATAAATAATTTGTCGGTTTTTTCCCTTTTTGCCTGCTTTACTTACGACGTCGTTTCACCTACTCTTCGACAAAATATTCCATTATTTATTTTTATATTTATAGAATATTATAATACATATTTTCGATTCCAATTTTATTTCTATTTCTCACTCTTAATCCAATATAATTTATAATTTTTTTTTTATTTTTTTAATAATTTATTAAACAAAATTTTAAAGTGATCTATGCACACTGTTAGACGAACACGACTCTCCACAATGGTATGATATTGTCCACTTTGAGCATAAGCTCTCATGGCTTTGTTTTGGCTTCCCAAAAGGCCTCACACCAATGGAGTTAGTATTCCTCACTTATAAACCCATGATCATTCCCTAAATTAGCCGATGTGGGACTTTCATCATCCAACACCTCCCCTCGAACTTGGCCTCACACCAATGGAGTTAGTATTCCTCACTTATAAACCCATGATCATTCCCTAAATTAGCCGATGTGGGACTTTCATCATCCAACACCTCCCCTCGAACCCTTCGAGGAGGCTTGACTCCTTTTGGAGTCCTTTGTTCGACATTTAAGGATTTGCCAATCTATTGGCACGGCTAAGTTTAGGGCATGACTCTGATACCATGTTAGACGAACACGACTCCTTTGTTCGACATTTAAGGATTTGCCAATCTATTGGCACGGCTAAGTTTAGGGCATGGCTCTGATACCATGTTAGACGAACACGACTCTCCACAATGGTATGATATTGTCCACTTTGAGCATAAGCTCTCATGGCTTTGCTTTGGGCTTCCCAAAAGGCCTCATACCAATGGAGAGTGTATTCTTAGATTATAAACCCATGACCATTCCCTAAATTAACCGATGTGGGACTTTCATCATCCAACACCTCCCCTCGAACAAAGCACGCCTCCCCTTAATCGAGGCTCGACTCCTTTGGAGTCTTAGTCATTTTTGACTGCCTTCGTACCTTCGAGGAGGCTTGACTCCTTTTGGAGTCCTTTGTTCGACATTTAAGGATTTGCCAATCTATTGGCACGGCTAAGTTTAGGGCATGGCTCTGATACCATGTTAGACGAACACGACTCTCCACAATGGTATGATATTGTCCACTTTGAGCATAAGCTCTCATGGCTTTGCTTTGGGCTTCCCAAAAGGCCTCACACCAATGGAATTAGTATTCCTCACTTATAAACCCATGATCATTCCCTAAATTAGCCGATGTGGGACTTTCATCATCCAACACACACGACAGCTTGAACTCCAGATGGTAGCATATTGACCCGTGCATGTCATGAAGACAACATGTTAATTGATAAAATTAAAAAATTAAAGATTAATTAGAAATTTTTAAATGTTATAATTCAACACAAATAAAATAAAATAAAAAAGGGACTAAACTTATATAATTGAAGTCTGGAATTATTATTAGGAAGCACTAATAATATTAATTGTTTTTTTCTTATTTAATTGAAACAAATCTGTTGATTTTATTAGGCTTTTGTTTGATTAATAATTTATTATAATAAAAAAAATGTCAAGTTTGACCACGTCGTTAGCTGGATAAATATATAATATAATATATAAAAAAATGACGAAAAAATGGGAAACGAGGGGCCGCCTTCAGTTTATTAAAGCTGCTCCGATATGAAAACTCCTTCAATATATATATATATATTTTTTTTTTTTTTTTATTATTATTATTATTTATATTTTTCTAAAATTACAATAAATAGAACTGATTAATCTGTAAAGAAGTATTAATAATTATCCGTAAATATATATATATATATATATATATTAAATTAAAAAACATGTATCTCCAATATGTCTGTCTTACTTTTTTAAAAATTGACGTGTTGATGTATATATAGCGTGTCATGTCTGTGTCACGCATTTGTATCGATACTTAGGTCACCGATTTGTATTAATTGTAGTTCTTAATATTATATAAATATAAATTTAAGCTAAATTGAAATTAAAAAATAAAATAAAATAGAGCTAATAAATTAGATGTCTATTAAATAAAATAAAATAAAAATAGACATTTATTTTAATGGTAAGATTTTCTAAGACAAAAAATATATATATATATTATATTTTTTAATATTGTTTTTTTTATTATTATTATTTTCAACTATTATTCAATTTAGTCATGTACTTTAAATTTGGTCTTATATTTTAGAAAATTCACCATTTTCGTCTTTATTTACAAAATTCGACATAAATTTTATACCTAATAAAAAGTTTATTATTTCATTTTAAAAAATTTATGTCGTGCAACTCATTTATAGTTTGAATTAGTAATAGAATATATGATATTAAAAGAATATTTTAATTAGATAATATATTTTAATTAAATTTAAATAATAATATATTTTATTTTATTTTCAAGATTTAATTAATTTATATTTTATTTAGTATCCTATTTAAAGGTTAGGAATATCAATAAAAATTTAACTTTCCATCTCAATTTTATTTTTCATTCTTAAAATTTGTATTAATAATATTTTCATATGTATTCTCACGGATAATTAGATAAATAAAAGTAGTATTTTAAAATCATAGTAACCTTGAAAACAAAGAAATGGGTAGAAAAGTCAACGGGAACCATGTGATAGGTTTGTTTTCCAAATGTCAACTTGAATTTAATTTAATTTTAAAATTAGATTGCAAATTGTAATATTAAAGAAATAGGTTGATAAATAATAATAAAAAAGAACAATAATGGTATTGGTGGGTATGGTTGACTTAGAAAATGATTAGTCAAACAAGATAAATGTGTAGTCCATAAATATGATACCCTTCATAGGCTAAAAGCTTGCAGCTTGAATCAACAACAATGTCAGGGATGATGAACAAGATCCAAGAAACGCTGCACCGCCGTCAGAAGCAGCCGCACGACGGAGAGGAGAAAGACGGCGGCGGGATTGTGGAGAGGATGAAGGAGAAGATCCATGGCTACAAGGAGAAGAAGCAAGAGAAGAAGAAGCAGAAGAAGGAGAAGAAGGAGAAGAAGAAAAAGGAGGAAAAATCTAAAGAAGAAGAAGATGGCGGCGGCCACAGCAGCGACAGCGACTCCGACAGTGGCAGCGGAAGCGATTAGCTGCAGCAGCGGCAACGGTCCTCCATTGTTGGAAGTGAAAATATCAATTTGAGAATATTCGCTAAAATCGCTAAAATCACTTTATTTAAGTGTTAATAAATATTTAGATGTAAACTATAATTTAGTATTACATATCATTAATACTATTTTTGTGTTTTTTTAAAGTAATTTTGTAAAATAAAAGAAATGAGAAGAAATGACGGTGGCGGATCAGTCGCTGTCGCTGCTACTATGGCCACCGTCATGGTGGTGGTCGTGGTCCTTCTTTTTCTTGTCTTTCTTCTTCTTCTTGTCGCCTTTGTCGTGGTGATGATGATCTCCATGGATCTTGTCCTTGATCTTGTGGACCAGGCCTACCTTGTGCTCGCCTTTGTGCGCGTGTTGGTGATGCTCGCCTTTGTGCGCGTCTTTATGATGATGCTCGCCTTTGTGCGCCTCGTGATGATGCTCGCCGATGTGGAGCTTCTCTCCGATTTTCTCGATGAATCCCGACATCTTGGATCCGTTTGAGAATTGGGTAAGGAAGGAACCCAATTTATAGATACTCAAACACTATTTATAACCAAAATAATTTTGTGTGGAAACCCAAACCATTGATAAATTTAGGATTGTTGTTTAAATCTGATAATTGTGTACGTAATAGAAGACTGAGTTCGGTCATGTCCACGTAATCATGTATGTGTACGTGGGTCAGCCCTACATCACGTGAGACAGGTCACAATTGCATTTTTGTAGTAGTGGATAGTAATTGTGCGATGCTTGTTCTAATCTAGTGAATGAATCAGTCGTGTGAAAGTTGTAATCCTACCCTCCGTATTGATTTCTCGTCCACCAGATTTTTTAAATAAATAATTACACAACAACAATAAATATAAATAAATAAATAAACAGAGAAAAAAAAAAGTTGTTTCCACGTATTTATATTTCACCCACTCATATCTTGCCACGTCGGATAAGATCCGTTGCCGACATTACTTGATTGTTTTTTAGTACAGATCCCCGCAATTGCCGACATTTGAAGATGGTCGGCAAATAAATGCCACGTGTCAATAATATAAGAATCCACGTGTCGTGAACCTTCGTTATTTTGTCGTGTAGCTAAAATCTGCCACTTGGGTTTCTCACACTTCAACTAGCTTAAGTTTATGAGAGTACTTTATGCTAAAAGAAAATTAACTTATAATATTCATTATTTTAAAGTATTATATTATTTTTTATAATCTTATAACATAATTGATACGACCAGCAATGTAATAAAAATAAACTCTAAATGGTTTATCCTCGGTTTACAAACGAGACTATTGAAAAGATATATGTTTCAATAATAAATATGGGACATCATCGTAATCGTGAATGAACTAAAAAATTGTGTAAGTGACGGTTAAATTTTATCGTCAATCCAATAAATTTAATATTTTGAAAATGTTGACCGAATAGAGAGTCAATGATATAATATCACAAGACTAGAACGATCATAGCTCCTTTAAAGTGCTGATTTTGAAATTTGAATGATGAGACACTTCTATTTTATTGACTCGAGAGGGACTCGGTTTATAATCGGACTAAAAATGTGTCGGTGACAATGGGCTTTTTGAATTTCCGACATCGGGTCATTTGAACGTGCTTGCTTTTAAATCCTTTTTGACATCTCTTCTAGTAAATTAAGACCCCTTTATCTCAATTTTACAAAGCAAAACTAAAGGGGAAAAAAAGGCAAAACTTTTGACCTCCTTTTTTTGGTCAACTTTTTCTAAATTACTTTTATGCCCACTAGTATTGAGGAGATTTGAGTCACTTCTCATCAAAAGCTAGTATTCCCGTCAGGGCTATTTTGGGAAAAGAACCAAGCTTTCATCAAGGTACTATTGCTCGAAATGAGAATCATTAAGGTCGAGTTTATATCGAAATTCATAGAATTTGATTGTCTACTCGAGTATGTCATAAAGGGGATCTTTAGGTTAGCTTCATCACTTAATAGACGATGAACCGAGGACGGGTTCAGGGTCAACTACGTCGGAATTCATCAAATCTATTTGTTGTCTAGATATCATTCGTCTTCTAATCCGAAAAGATGAAAATCTCACCGATGTTATGTCTATGACGAAGTAGGTCGGTAGGTCAGCTTCATTGCTATCGTTACAGACAACGACTAAGACTTGTTATGAAGTTTCGTAAACGGGAATGCCTCGATTCTTGTGCAACCTTCCCAACACCCTTTTCTTAAAATTAAATGAGTGATGAGATCTTCCAATCTGTTGCTTGGTTGGCAACTCTTGTAAAAATTAACTGTGTTCTTCAAGATATTTAATGTCATAGGGGCTAAACAATAAATTCATGAAAGTTGAGGGATCAAATATAAATATTTTACAAAATTTCATAAACAAATAGATACTAAACTATGTACCAAATTTCTGCAAAGCTTTCAGACATTTATGAACAGCTTTTAACACAGTCAGTCAAACAAAGAACAACAACAACAACAACAAAAAAACTCTATAAAAGCGAGTAAAAGCTTCCATTTTTTGCTTCCAAGATATGAGGAGCTTCCAATGTCGTCCACATGGGACTCCTCGAAGCCTCGCTCGGATTATCGACGCGTAATGTCTTAGGAATCACGACACATTTCTCTGGCTTCTCTTCCTCAGTTAAGCTATCTGCATCTCTCGAATGCTTTCCGAGAGTAGGCGACGAGGTTGTCGGGCACCTACCAATGGTGGCTGGAGATGTTTGAGATGCACAGACATCGGATGAACCGGTAGTCCATACGGGCGTACAACCCCAATATGAAGCTGGCACGAATTGTAACGGAAGGCTCGGACCGCAAAAGCCTGGAACTGCCAGCATTGTTGCAGGGAGCCATTGAACTGGATTGGGGTGACTGCTGGTAGTATCTGAACTCTGTGTCATTGCTGATGGAATTACGCCATTCCTGCCCTGATTCAATGGAAAAACCAATTGTGGTACGGGGTAACAATGAACCGTATTCGATCCAGCGACCTCGGTACTAGAATTAGGCAATTCGTTTCGACGAATACTAGTCGTTGTCATGGAAGAACCACACGAGGACGGTTCTTCAGGACTGTCTCCACAGCCAATCTCAATGGATCTCTTTTGATCTCCAAGACTGAGCACTGTCTCCATTGATTCACAAAGTGGTGCTGCTTCAGATCCAAACTTTAGGACAGTACCATTACCAGTAGAGTCAACGCCCGACGTTTCCAACCGGGTTGTCGCCGCAACTCCCTCAGACGACACTATGATCTGTCGGTATTGAGACGCCAACTGCTTGTTTCTTCGTCGTCCTGCACCGATAGGAACGTTTCTCATCGTCCCACCGGCAGTCCAATATCTTTGACAGTTCTTACAGAAATGCCTAGGTTGATTGACATTGTAATTGTTGAAGTAACAAAACTTAGTTTCCAAACTATTACACCTAGGACAAGGAATGATCTTGTCTGGTTTCTTAAAAGCTCGTTCTTGATCTGTGCCATTACCATCCATCTGTTCCTCTTTCAAAGCTCGGTGTTCTTCGTTATCCCCTACCAATACCGATGACCTCTCGGACCGACACGAGTCCTCTGCACCCGGGACAGACTGCTCAGCTTGTTTCCAATGGTTGCAAGCATCCTGCAAAAGATATAGAACAAAATTGACACTCGAAACAGTCGAAAACACATAGCGAAGAACACGATCGACAAGAAATGCCTCAGATTCCTAGTTCATAACCCTTTCCAAATAAGGAAATACTATATCCATTCAAGTAATCAACAAATAAATGAACAGAACTCTTTCATTAAGGAATCAATCTTTATTGAACTTTTTCAGCAGCTCCAAACGTTCAAGAAAGAACTTCAGTTAACCCTCAATGAATTCCACATTCTAATATGGCTGAAACAGAACAAACCCAAATGGGAAAAAGTCAACAAAGTTCGCTAGAACATTACATGAATAAACCTAAACAAGAAAACATGTTATTCATCTCCATCACAATGAAAAGAACAGCTGAAACGAGACAACAAAAGGGACAGGGACAGGGAAAGGGACAGGGGCAGGGACAGCTCCGGTCGGGCTAACAATGGAAGAAGAACAATACGAATAAGACAGTGCAATCAATCGCCCATTTCAACAATCTCGCATGACCCACAAGAACACAATACGAGATAATCAGATTAAACCCAGAAAGAAAGAAAAAAACCCATCAAAATTGAATGGGAACCCAAGAAGGGGAAACAAAATAGGTACCCGATTGTGGCGGGGGTCGGCGGAAATCTGGGATTCCTTCAAAGGGATGGTCCGACCGAAGAGTTTAATGGCGAGATCCTTGAAATGTGGGGCGGCGGCGACATCATCAGTGGTAGAACTCGTCATTTTGATGTCGTTTTTAAGGAAAATTTGGTGGGTTTTGAGAATGGGAAGGTTTGGAGGTGAAATCCATTCAAATATAGAAGAAGAAGAAGAAGAAGAAGAAGAAGAAGAAGAACCAGAAAGCTTTTCCTCTCTCTCTCCTTCTCTCTCTCTGAAATCAAAGAGGAGAGAGAAGAGAGGAGAGGAGAGGGAGGGAATTGGAAAGGTAAAAAAGGGAACAAAAAAAGAAAGCCCTTCAAAAGTTTGAGCTAAAAGCTTCAAAGCACAAAGAACGTGAGGCATCAAAGTACCCATTTTTTCCTAAATTTCTCCCCTTTTTCACTTTTCAAAATGTCTCTCTTTTTCTTTTTCCTTTTTCTTTTTCTTTTTTCCTTTTTCCTTTTTAAATTTTTATTAAAAAAAAATGCAAAATTTATTAATGGGACAATTTTTCTTTTTCATTTTTGTCTATTAATTAAGTAACCCAATAATAATTCCTCCAACAAACAACTAAATTCTCATTTATTTTAAATTCATAAATCATTTTTTTTTATTAATTTTTATTATTTAATATAATAATTTACACCCAAAAAAAAAAAAAAACATTTAGTGTAATTTTGATGAAATAATAATTTTTTTAATATAAATTAAATGAATATATTCCATTTCCGGGTTGCTTATTTGTTACAAATTACTTTTTAAATAAAGGTTTCTTTTGACTAAATAAAGCATTATTTACACTTTTTTTATTATTTGCTTCCATTTTTCATCATTTAAACATGTATTTTGAGACTATTTATTTTTTTATTTTTAAATTATAATCTTAGTCAAATTTTAATATTTTCAGAAAATTAATTTTTTTTTTAAAAAAGAGGGTTGCAATAAATAAATTGGTAGTAAATATATTTTTTTAAAAAATAAATATAAAGTATAAATTAAATATTATAAAATGGGAATGAATAATGAGAATAAGATGCTTGTTCTATTATTATGGAGGAATCAACGTTGAAATTGCTAATTTCACTTCCTTTTTTTAATTTCTTCTACCATTTATTATATTATTTTTATTAAGTTACTTCAAAGTTTATCTAATTTTTTAAATTTTAATACGAACCGACATGAGAGAAATGAAATCCAACGTCTAATAATTTGATGAGCTAATCCAACTTGACTCGAAAGTAACGAGTTGGGTTGAGTCGTGAACATTATTCGATTACTTTAACCTAATTCAACTTAACTCGTATACGCTTTTACCAATTTGACTCAGATGCTCGAGTCCAATCATAAATTGTAGGATAATAGAGTTTTATTTTATTATTTTTAAATAAATCATAAAAAAAAAAAATTATAATAAATATATAAAGTTTTAATAATTCAATTGTATTTGGATTCAATATAATTTAAATACGAAATTTTTTTATATGAAAAATGAAAAAGAATAATAATAATAAAAAAAAAGATGGTAAGCGTGTGGGT